TGACTCACCGACGGCATCTCCTACACCATCCTCGATGGTGGCTGGGCCAGAGGTTGGTCTGTGCCTCACCTCTGGTGCCAGTACCCACATCTCAATTTTAAATCGCATGCAGACATTGAGGGTTGTTGGGAGGGGCTCGAGTGGTCTGTGTGTGCCTGTTTGTCTATGTGTCAGGTCTGGTTTTAGGCTCCACCTCTGTCAGAACATCTCAGTTCTGTGGGGGCCTATTTCCACCCACCACACTTTCTGCCAGTGCATTGGTGGTTCTTTGTGAGCGAGGCTGGGTGCTCGGGTGTGTAGTAGCTCACTCTCAGCAGCTGCTTGGTGGGGCCTGGCCTCTCTGGCTCTGTTGAGCCTCCGCTGGGGGTTTGGAGCCCTCAGGTCCTGTTCCTGGGACCCTGTCTGCGCCGGTAGATCCTGCTCACTGCTGAGGCCCCCTGTGGCTTCTACACCGTGGCCACAGAGGAACCCTCATCCAGGGCTGTCCTCAGCTCTTTTATAGGCAGGTGTCATGATTGCCCCTATGGTGGTCCTCCTGGGGCTCTCATGCTCTGGGGGGCCTCTGACTGTGTGGAGTCCAGGTCTCCTCCATGACTGCGTCATGTCTTGAGTGGCAGGGCAGTGGCAGTGTACAAAGGTGTACAAACAGGTATTACAAATGCACACTATCTTGGTTGGCTGGTGCCTTTAAACATGTATCATTAATACTGTGTGCTGCTCAGTAACATTTAATATTTATTATTTACTGCTACTTGATGTTTTTTGCTTGTTCTTTTTTCAGTGGGTAGTCAAGAAGATTTTCAGTGTTTTTTCTCTCTCTCCTATCTCTCTTCTTCTCTATTTTCTCTTAACTTTCCCAACTTCTTTTTTCCATGCCCCAGGCTTGTCTGTTCTGATTCTAATGACTCAAATAAAAAAAAAATCTAGTAAAAATCTAAAAAAAACATATGACTATCATGTGGACCAGTATAGCAAAAGCCGTAATGGTCTAGAGCTTTATGTCTTAAAGACATTCCTGCAGTTTAACTACTTGGTGTGTGTTATCTGGCTTCATGGATCGATGAAGTTGGGTGTCATCTGCATAGCAGTGGAAATGTATGCTATGCCTTCTGATAATACTGCCTAAGGGTAGCATCTCATGATCCAGTGTGTTTTGGCATTCTGGTGTATTCACTCTCACTCTAAATCTCACCTGCCTGCACTCCTGATCGCCACAACGTACCTCTGCTCTGGACGAGGAAAGAAAAAGGTTGGACATTCTATTCTACTAGTTCCATCACTCAGTCACTGACATGGAGATCCACCCCTCCCTTTAGTCTTGCTTCTTCCTGTAAACCTCCTATACTCACCATAGCAATCTTACTCACCTTCAACCTAAGCTCTGTGAATAACACGTCTTCTCCTGCTGTTCAAGTGCCTCCTGTTCCTGCAAAGTTCTCTCTCCATCATGCTTTTCAATTAATTTTTTTTCAATTCAATTTTATTTATATAGCACCAAATCACAACAACAGTTGCTTCAAAGTGCTTTATATTGTACAGTAGATCATACAATAATAGATTCAGAGAAAACCCAACAATCATGCTTTGACCTTAGCGATTCCTGTATTAAATAAAGTTTTGTCTAAAATTGAATAGCTGTCAAGGTTACGGGTTCAGGACTCACTCTGGTTGAAAGTCAAAAAGGTGGTTTATTTACACAAGTGAAATATATACATATATAGAATGCTGGCGGGAAAATGGGGGCCCAGGGCAGCCAGGAAAAGGTCCAGGGTAGGGAAGGTCCAAACTCCTCTTCACACAGCCAGTGAATCACTATTATCCGCAATCCAATCCAGTCCAAGCTCACTCAAACTCACGCTCATCCACTCAGTATCCACAAGAAAGGGAAACAGGCCAGGGTCCAGGGAAGTCTTTCCACAAGGAGAGAAGCTGACGTTAACAAGAAGCACTAGGAAAACACGAGGAAATCGCTAGGCGAGCTGTGTTACACTGACGGAGGCTAGCACAATGATCCAGCAAAGAGTCAGACTCCACTGAGACCTTAAGTACTGCAGGAGTACTCATCGGCGATGGATGGCAGGTGAGTAATTATCAGTGATGGATGACAAGTGAGTAGAGCTGCACAGGTGAGTACTGAGCCGGGGACCAAAGACACCCAGAGTCCGCCCTGGCGATGAGGAGCGAAGTAAAAACAACAACAAACAACACTGAAGAAACCTGGGACCATGACAAAAGCTGTATATTGATTCTACTTTTGGGTCCAACATTTGCACACTGACCACTGGCCTTGACAGTATAATGTAAACATGGTCCTAGCATAAAACTTTGTGGAACTCCATAATTAACCTTAGTTTGTGAAAAAGACTTTTTAGGTTTGTCAGCATCACTCTGGGACAGAATGTTTCTAATTGTACAGATGTTGTGCAAATGAAAGAATTGGCCAATAATTACCTAAGACAAATGGATCCAATGATGGCTGTTTAAATAATGGTTTAAGTACTGCTAGCCTAGTCCCAGCCAAGTCCTGTGGCATGTTGCCGATTAATAGAGATAGTTTGATCATATATAAAAGTGAAGCATTAATTAATGGTAGGATTTCTTTGAGAAGTCTTGAGATGGGGTGTAAAAGACACTTTGATGGTTTGGAGGAAGTAATTACTGAAATTAACTCAAAAAGATCAATGAGCACACACAGTTGATTTTCATTTATTATGCTTTTTTGTTTAGCAGCAGGACAAAAAATTACTTTGACAAGAAACCCTTCTTCATATAACGTAGTCTTCAGTTCAGCTGTTCTCTTTAGAATATAACACACTTTAAAATAAATATCATAAAATACTATTTTATTGTTTATTTATTTTTACAATTCTCCTGAGATTGAAATCAAGTTTAGAAACAAACTAAAGAAAGGAAGGTTTCAACTTGTTATCAGGACTCAGGACCAGAGAGGCAGAGGTAAATAAGAAATGTATTTTATTTACTTATTTATTTTTGTTGTGGGTGGTGGGGTTCTTTCATAGGACGTTAGAGCTGTGTATCCTAGCAGATTAGATTTTGTACACACAAATATTTAAATGCAAATCTTTAAAAAAAATGTATGGAACCACTGAGAACCCAGATTTTGAAAGTTTTTGTGACTGACAGAGAAAAAACATGCTGTAATAATGAAGTAAAATGCAACAAGGTACAATGGCTAAATTTAGTAAGTAAGGAAAAAATGAAAGCATCAGACATGATATAGAAACTGTACCCTTGCTTACATTAATTCATGAAACAGAAATTTCATATTTTAGCTACATTGCTATATCCTTTTCTGTTGGTTTTCTTCAAGACATTTTCTCGTTGCATTCTGTTTTTTCTTTTTTTTCTTTTTTTTTTTTTTTACAAGGATCTCTTATACCGAATAGGAAACACCAGCCATGCTATCACTGCACTTCATATAATCATATAAACGTTTTAGATATAAAAATCTGGGCTTTTCTGTAGAATATGTTGTTAAAATTGGGGAATAATTTTGATATAAACCAGGTTAGCTTTCAATTTTCAGCTTTGATTCAGTGGGATCCACATTCAGCTGACATGAACAGCAATGGAATTACAGTCATTTTTGACTACATTTTTTCTTCATCCGTTTTATCAATATTAATAACACTGTAATCACCCATTTATTTGCTTAAATCTGTAGAGTTGGTGAAATAAAGTATTTTATTAATAAGAAGTATTTTGAGAATACGGAAAATGTCTGAAATACTTCCTTACTGCACAGGAAAACTGGGTGCACACATCTACAGATGGTATAGTAGGAAGTTATCTTAAAATAACAATTTCATGACTAAAACTCCTAAGAAACTTTTGAGAAGATTCTTTCATTTGTGTCTCTATCAGAGGAATCAGCTGCTCTCTAAGGGAAGGTAGCACTTTGTGAAAGTTTACATACCTTTAAGGGTAGAATTTACAGCTTTAAAGTTGGTTAATTGGTTGATTGCAATGCCCATTTTTAAAAGACGTTCGTTGTTCTGTTTTTTCATTGCAGAATTGGACCCCAGAATGCTCTTTGATAGACCCTCTGTTTTTAAGGCATGTTCAATTGAGGAAAAAATACCTCTAAGATAGGTATTTATGAGTGACCCTTATAAGTTGCTGTGGGTGGGTAAACTAAACTCTGGAAATAATTACAAACTATGTCCCCCTAATGTTCTTGCTGTTTTGGCCTCCCAGAGCCTTTCACAAAGAGTGTTCTTAATAATTTATATTGTTTTGGTGCACCTCATCTCACAATGAAAAGAACCTACAAGTCGATCCTAGAAGTACGTTCCAGGAAACAGGCTGGTTGAAGCATGAATATCCAGCATGAATTTGAAACAGCAGCTTTTTGGGAGGGCTAACTATCTTGCAAAATCAAACACGGCTTCAGACAATATTAAATAAGCAGAAAATCATAAGGAAGATTTTGTTCCTTGGAACATTCCCAGAGTTCAGGTACTAAGGCGGTGAGCAAAATGATGTTATTACTGATATAAATACCCACCAAATCTATAAAAATGGAATTAAAGTCACAAATTTAAGCAACTACAAACTCTGAAACTTGCTGGAGTACAGAGAAGAACAGTTTTGGACAATTGCCTTTTGTCATGAAATCAGTGTCACATTTGGATCACATGATTATGAGCGAGAAAACAGCATTCATGGTGACAAATGTCTGATATGCTATGAATAAAGGGAGTGAAAAATAAGCTAATAAGTTAACCTTTACAGATTTGGACACACTGAAACAGTCTCTAAATTCTTTCTTTCTTAAACTATGAATCTTGATTGTTAGGTTTTATTTTTTGGTGGATTTGTTTTTAATGAAACACTAGTCAAATGTGTTTGGATGAACAATGTGAATTTATGGCATAAACATGTTTAAATACAATGCCTTTCTGTATTATTTTGTTTGCAATTGGTCTGCCCCCCCCCCCAAAAAAAACAACAACAACAAAAAACAAAAACAAAAGCTATTGGTTTCATCAAAAGCTGGTGCCTGAAACAATTAGGCAACACAATTTTTTAGGCAATGCAGGAGTAAAAAGTGCACCTGTTTGGGACTATTTCCTGTGGTGGAAATACACCAAACACATACTTGGTTCCTTGGTATTTATACTTTGAGGGAATTAGCTGATATTAAGAAAAATATAGATGCAACTAGATTTACTTTTGACTATTAAATCTTATTGAACATGAGTCTGCACTGTTTCACTGCTGTCATTTGTCTAGTCTAGTAATCTCACATCCTGAGTTCTGGCTGAAAAATAATACTGATGACTAATGATGGAATAATTATCCATCATTATAACAAAACAAGTGACTAGTAATTCGAGGTTATGAAAGTAACCTCTGACCAGCAAGCTAAGAGAGACATGGAGCATGTCAGGACCAGGTATCAAGGGGCCACTACGGGGCTTTAAAGGGGTTAGGAGCCCCCCCCCCCACACACACACACACTTTCTTTCTTTCTTTCTTGACGTTCAAGTTCATAGTCATGGTTTGTGTTGGAGTGTTCAAGGAGAGAGTTTTCCTTTTTTGTTTTTCCTGGATCGCAAATGAAAATGCAAATAACATTTTTGTGACTGGATGTTTAAAAAATGACTCAGTCAGGTATGCTAAGTGTAAAAGGGGTATTTAGGGAAATTTAATCATATGTGACAAAATCCTATTTAAATTTAAAGATTTTGTGCAAAAATGTACTTCCTGTCTGTTGTTGTGGCTAAGGTCATAGAAGGGATTGTTTACTGATCAGTAGGAAAGTGGCTCAATCCTTGGCTCCTCCAGTAATTTAATCAAAGTATCCTTGACCAAGAAACTGAACTCCTCATGTTGCCCCTGATGCATCCATTGGAGTGTGACTGTGTGTAAATGTTAAACAAAGTGCTGCATGAATGTGTGTGTAATTTGGTGAATGAGACTTGTAGCAGAAAGCATTTTGAGTGCTCAACCAGCTCAGGCGCACTCTCACTACTGGTAATGCGCTGTTTCCTTGAGTTAAGTGAGCAAGACAGAATGAACATTTTCCGCTCTTCCATCACACGGGCACAGATTTTGTACCAGGAAGCTGTCAGATTAAAGACAATTTAAATAGATCTGCATACACAAATTCAGCTCTTTTACATTTTACACGTACTAACAACATGCATCAGTGTGTTGTTTCACCTGGCATTACTGCCTACTTCTCTTCAGTTAACCAAAGTTCGACCCGGTACATAAGTAAACAACATGATTGGCTATCATGTGTGCCAATCAAAAGAATTCTGTTGTTATAGATTTAATGGGACACAATCAAATGTTATAATTAAAAGTTGTTGGGTTTTTGCCATGGCTATCCCTCCTCAGACTGCAAAAACAATTATAGATAATATTGATTATTTTGTGAATATGTCACAGTGATGCCATCAGAAGGAGGGATAATCTCATTTTAGACTTTTGCCTTATTATTTATTTATTTAGTCATTCATTTATTTTGCCTCTTTGTTGGGATATTTAATGAAGAATTTGCGAGCAGAATTGAGTCCAGATGTGGATTCAGGAATAGTTGGAATGATTTTTGGATGGACAGCATTGTGCGTTGCAACATATCTTCACAAATACACATCAAATTGAAATAAGAAAAACTGAGAGAAATCATCTTGATGTAATCTAAAAATGATTAGAAACTTATGCAGATCCAGGAAATCCTCTGGATAACGTAACTCAGTTTAGGCATGTTGTGGGTGGAGCTATGCAGACGCATTGATCTTTTAAGTCACTGGGTTTTGTGAAAAAGTTGTGCTATTTAGCAATTTTACGCAAAATGAAACTGCTCTTAATCACATGACACTAGGCCAACTGTTACAGGGGAATCTGTAGCCATTATATGCCAGGATATGATTGTAATAGAAAAATACTACATAAATTAAATTTGAATGTGATCCAGTTGTTGTTGTTTTTTAGCCTTCAGTTAAAGATGGCAAAGTCTTCTTGTTAAATTTGTTAAAACACCTGTAACTTTGAATAAAATCATGTCTGAAATGCCTGGCTTTAGTTTTACAACTTTATCATCTGTTGTTATGATTTCTCTGGTGGGGGGTGGGGGAGGGGGATTTTTGGAAGACATCTATGATAATTTCTACAAATTATAAGTAACTCCTCCCCATATCACATCATTAAATCATGTAGAATTACAAGAAACAACACACAGGACATGATGTCAGTTAAAAACTTTGATCATAGTCAGAAATACATAAAGAACATATAGTCACAGTTTTAAGGATTCAGGGAGCTTCATTGCTGCTTGAGAGAGAATTCATATGATTGAGTTATATATATTTTTTAAATAATAATTTAAGGTTACAAAAGAACCCTCAAATTAGTTCTTCAGTAAATGAGCCAATTAGTTAATATTGGTAAGGAAATTTTTTTAAAGACATTTACTCTTAAGCATCTGTAATTTGAGAACAGAAGGAGCAAAAACCATGATAAAAATGTATTTTAGTTACTTTCCAGTCTCACTTACTGATAAACTGGTGCATTAATTTGGATGAAAAAAGTGCACAAATTCTAAACACATGCATATGACTGATTTATGAAAAACCTTCCCCTTACCACCTACAGGGCTTCTTAAGTCTAAGGACCAAAGTGTAGCTTATTTTACATGTAGCTTGGCTGAAATGTAATTGTTGAGTATGCATTTTGGTGTGCTGGGAGTTCAGAGTCAGTGTTCAGGTTTTTACATCTGTGGGGGAGACTGTGCGCCGGCTGGGTCATGTAGCTTTCTGACGTGTTTCTTCAGGTCAAAGTTCCTGCAGAAGCCCTTGCCACAGGTTGGGCAGGTGAAGGGTTTCTTATCGTTGTGGGTGTGCATGTGGAAGGTGAGGTTGTACACCTGATGAAATGCCTTGCTGCAGATGGAGCACTTGAACTGCTTCTCGCCACTGTGTGTCAGCTTGTGGTTTTTGTAGTTTCCTGTGTTGAGGCAAAAGGGTGAAACTTAACAAGACATCAAGACATGGAATTTCTTTACAATTCCAAAGAGTTTCCAAGAGTATGTTTTCTCAGTGGTATCAGCATCACATAAATGGGACCAAAGCAAAAAAAACAAAACACAAAAAACAAGCAATTATAGCAGTACAAAAGTTATTAAATTGGTAATTGATGGTTAAAATGGTTTTACTTTTTAAACTAATTAACATTACATTTAGGTTAAAATGAAATAATAATTAATAATGTTCATATATTGATTCATAATTTGTTTTTAATGATCCTCTACAGAAATTGAATCGATGGTTATGGTAAAAATTGCAACTTATTACATAAACTAATTGCATAAGTAAAAATAAATTATAACATACTGATGTAACTCAGTCACTCACACACATATTTTAAGAATTTGTGCACTTTGTTCAATTATTAGTAAATATTATTATTGATGTTATTATTAGTATTTCAATTTTTATCACTGGTAGAAGGGAATAACTACTAACATTTTATTAATTATCAGGATACCTTTTATCAGTGATAAATACATTACTGTATAATATGAGTCCATAGCATGTGGAGAAAAAAGCCCAGCAAATATTTTTCCTTATAATATTTATTTATTTTAATTTATTTATTTATGTTGCTTATTTTGTTTTGTTTTTGTTGTTCTGAGAATTAGAAATCATGCCACATATATGTGTTTTTCATTTGTGAAAAATACAGTTTTACTCACATTAACAACTAAAATAAGGATCACATGTTCACATTTGAGAAGCAAAATTCATCCAGTATTTGGCATTATTGCTGAACCTCTACTGAATTCTGTGATATTTAAAATAACCAAAAAACTAACATATGTTTTCCTCCTGTTAATATGAACCAGAGGAGTGTTTTCAGTGCAATGCACCCCAGTGCAATACATCACCACAATCACCCACATAACCTTAATATGAATATAATGAAAATGAAATATGAAATAATGAAATATAATGAAATAAAGTACAATTACTGCATTTCTAACAACATAAAAAAAGGAAAATATACACTCGGTGAACACAAAGCAACACTGAAAATAATAAAATACTGAAATGTAAAAAAAATCAAAGGTTTCTTTATTTAAAGAATTAAGCACTGGCTGGTATAAACTAAATGTATACAAATTAAGTAAATTTTATTTGACCATATTCTATTTAACATTTTACACAGTACCTATGTAACAAAATTTTATTTAAATGAAAATCTAATTTACATGCACTCAAATTACTTAAAGCATTTAGTCGTAAAGGTTTTCTGTGTGTTTCATGAGGCGATGTATTGGATGTATTAGTATTAGTAGATGTAAAGCAGTAGCAATACAACAGTTTAAAGGGAATACATCAGTACAGCAGAGTAAAACTGTAAGCATGTAGACAAATATAATGTCACAACTACGAATGTGCGTTTCTATAGAACATTTTTTATCACTTCATATCATGCGATGCTATAACATCTCAGGATGAATCCAGGGAGCTATTCCTCTTCAATTTTAACTGTTTTAATCGTCATAGCAGACTAACCTTTTCTAAAATTACAAGTCCAGCTGATTTCAAGAAAGTAAACTTTGGTAATTGTTATGAATACATACATACATAAACAAATACAACACAATCATCAACTACCACTCTAATGGGCCTTGGGCATTTGTTGATGCCCTAGCTGCTATGTGTCTGGCAGAGATGCCCCACATGGTTTGAAGGTTTGAAATAGCACCAAATATTTGGCCTTACAACATGTAACAGCTCTGCTACAGGCAGTTACAAAGAAACATTTATGTTTCCATAACATATTTTAACAAAACAAACAAACAAAAAAGAAACAGGAAAACAAAATAGTGCTGCTGGACAAGCATCTGTATAATTTTTGTGTCTGTTAAATTCGCATGTCTTGAATATGCTGAATTATGTTCGATTTGCATTAATATGTAATGATTTTATATAATAAACAGTGTGGAGTCTGTAGCGAACTGTCTTCACGGGAACTTTAAACGGATTTAGACTCAGACCCGCTGTATTTGTCCATCGCACCCACTTCTGTTACATATCAACACCTTTTGTTTTTGTTGTTTTTTTCCCTCTTTATGCCAATTAATTTATCATGTTTTCGCTCTGTGTTGTTTGACCTGTGAGTTCAGTCCAGCTGTATAGTGAGGATGTGGCTCTTCTCTGGGGATCTTTTGCTTTTTAGGATTTAACACCGCTCTAAAAAGTGTAACGGATTCTTGGAATAAAATTTCTAATCAAGATGTTTTGGTTGATATATTAAATGTAGTTCTTGAAAAAGGAGAAAAAACAAATAAGAAAATACTGATCCATTTTCTTTTTTTTACCGTCTCACCTTTTTGGTGAAATCCCTTCCCACAGAACTCGCACACGAATGGTTTGTATCCCGCATGGATGCGTGTGTGCGTGTTGAGGGTTGAACTCCTGTTAAAGGCTTTTCCGCACTGGTTACACTTGTGAGGCTTTTCCTGTAAAAAATTACAGGTGGGAAAATAAGTAACTCTGTGGAAAATGTGCCATAAATAAAAAAAAATAGCACCAAAAAATACAAAATAATCTTGCAGAGATGCACAAGGACCTTATACATTCACAGATAATGTATATAATGTGTAGAATCAAATTCATTAATATGATAGTGCACAAAGATGAATAATTTTTATGCTTAATTTATATTTTAAGCGAAACAAACATAATTAGCGCGTAATTAATTTCCTCTGTGAAAGTGACACCTCACAGGGGTAAATAAAACAGAAATCGATTTTTGAGTCTAAACCTGCAATCCGAACGCCACGCTGAAGCCCCGCCCACCAAACGCATATTAAATCATATGACTGAAAACAATCGAACTGGTAGTTACTTAAATAAATTAATGATCGTACTTCAGTGTGATTAAATGTCTGCGTACGATTCAGAGGTGAAACATATTAAACAAAAATAAATCAATAAACAGAATAATAAAGAGTGACCGACTTTATCGCGACCTTTGGTTGATATTTAAACGGTCAATAAAACAGAGAATATAACATTTCAAAACTTGCAGAGATCAGCGAAATAATAATCAAACATAACATTTAAAACCATCATTAAAAAACAAAACAAAAAACATTTAAAAAAAAAAACCCGAGATGAATGACTGAACTCATCCTACCTGAGTGTGGATGATTTTGTGCCGGCACAGCGTGCTGGCCTGTCGGAATCCCTTCCCGCAAACTTTGCACACGAATGGTCGAGCGCCTGTGTGTACGGGCATGTGGCGGGTCAGGTTGTAGTGCGCGTTAAAGACCTGAACAGGAGGGGGGAAACCCGAGACAAAACAAATAAATAAACAAAAAGCAACACCTTGTCAACAAGAAAAATATAATCATTATTATTTTAATAATAATAATAAAATAATAAAATGTCAGCCGACTACATTGCTACATTGCTCAGTTAAACGTTAATTATGTGGAAAAGAAGAAGAAGAAGAATGAGTGCCTGTAATTATTAGATTAAGTCTAATTATGTGTAATCTGTTGGGGGTAATTTATTGGACTTGGAATACACGGAATGGGTCCATTGTAACACAATAACAAATCTCTAAAGATGCACAGCATGAGCCAAAATTTAAATTCCTAAACAACTCACCAAGTAGGCATTACGGTAATTTGGTCCTTTTAAAATGAGTTTTAGAGAAATTACAAATGTTAAATTTGATCAATTCCATCTGTTATTTCAAATAACCACAGCAAACCTCTGTTTTTTTTCCCTTAATATATGTACTCTGCGCTTCCATTCCGGGACTCCGTTTATTAATTTTGCGAAATAAATTCCGGGTCTGCACACTCTAAAAATTCTAGTCGACTTATGTATGCATTTTTATTTTAATGCATACATATGTCGAATACTTTTTTTTTTGTTTGTTTTTTTAGTCAGAGTTCCTTTTTTAAGGTTGTTTAGATAATATAGAGTGACCGAGTGTATCGGACACTATATTATTTATCTAACCCTAAACACATCTATTAAACAAAACTTAACCTTATATAAAATGATCGAGTATTTGTAAGTTAAACACTAATAACTAATCAAATCCAACATTTGACGTGCACTAGATTACTTGTTTAAAATATCTTGAAAAACCTCCGAATTTGTTCGTAAAAAAAAAAAAAAAAAAAAAAAAGAGGGTGAGAGATAACTAACATCAATTCTGAAAATAAATCCATTTTCAGTTTCCTTCTGTGGATAAAGAGTAAATAAATTCAATCATCCGCGCTGACGCTCACCTTACCGCAGACCTCACAGGTAAAAACTTTGGGCTTGCTACCGGGACAGGGGCCGCTGAGCCTGGCGCTTGCCGCTGCAGCTGTCGCGGAGCCCTTGAAAATCTTGTCACTCAGGATCTGGTCCCTCTGCTTTATGTAGTGAATCTGGTTCGGAGATAGATCCTTGAAGGCCTGCACGCCGGAACCCGCGTACCGCTCCGCGGCCTGTTGCATGCCGGTCTTGCTCTTCTCTGCCATGAAGGCTTTATGTCGGGCAGTGAACAGGTACGAGGCCATAGGGTGCAGGTTCACCAGGCCAGCCGGCGGTGGACACGCTCCGGAATCCCCGCTGCAATTCAGGTAGCAAACAGTGCCCATCGTGGGAAAGGAGGACTGGTTTACCACCCTGGGTCTGAAGAGTTTGTACTGCCCGGTGGTTTGGCTGACAGCAGTGTCTTCTTGTTGATTTTTATAGTTTAGCCCAAACCCCAAAAATTCTGCGGGAGCTGGGAGAGAAGACGCGTCTAAGTGGCCCGGATCCAGCCCTGCGATACTGAGCCGGTGTCCCGGCTCATAGCCGAGCGGTACCAGCGGGATCATGCAATGCAGCGAGGACGGATATGCTTCGGGTTTCCCCACTGGAGCGGACTGAAACCAGTTGGGGAGCGGTATTGACTTGGGCTCGGGTGTCCTGGCCATAATCCGGTCGATGGAGAAAGCGAGAGGCTTGCTGCTGCCGCCGGAGGTGAGCATTTCTGAGCCCGCAGGTTGGCTCCCTGAAGCCGTGGGGGAGCCAAGGATCCCTGCTGGGCGGCGGAGAGGACCGTCCATCACCTCCGCATCAACCGGGTTGCGACAACAACAACTAAAGCTGCTGGAAAGAAGATGAGATCGGCGCTGCTCCTCACCGGCACGCAGAAAAGGACATCATCCGCCAGGGATCCCCCAACCCCACCCCCACCAAAACACAGGCCCTGCTTTCCTGGTTGTTGACTACAATCAGGGCGCCCGAGGCTCGTTCGATATCGGTGGGGCAAGAGCCGAGACCTTGCCGATCGTTACCGTCCAAGAAGGAGAGTGGAAAAGTAGATAATTTGCTCAATTCTCCTCTGTCGATTCTCTGCGTTTGTCGCCGCTGGAAGAGGAGGAGGAAAGTGTTCTTTACTTGGCAGGACTCCTGCTCAACTGAAAGGTACTTGGTAAATCCCAGGTCCCCTTGTGGTTTTACGTGACATCTTTTTTTTTTTTAAATCGTGATGAGCCAGACGCGCAGCGGCTGCAGGGTCAGGAACTGTCAGTGTTTTAGATCAGATTTGGACACGTCTTTGGCTCTCAAAACCCAGCCCTTTTACGCACGGTTCAAAGAAGACAGGGACATGTCATGTAGTTGAATTCAAAACAGAAAACAGATCGAGATATTGAGCAGAAAATGGATTTGATGTCATTGATGTCAGTCTGGATGGGTTTAGAAATCAACAACTTTAACTCAAAGCGCCCCTTTTTTCTTTTATGCACCAGATTTTTAAATCTTAAAAAGCGGTTTGAAAAAAGCGACTACTCGAGACAAAGAGATGGACAGAAATCTGCAGTGAAAATGCTCACTCTCCCCTATCGAGTCTTATCCTTTTTTCCAGTCACACGAATACAAGCAACTCTTTTATCCACAAAGCACAGAGCCGGTGGGCTGAAGCGCAAATTCCACAGGATGAATGAATGAAACCAATGGCGCACGAACCCACAACAATAGCTCCATCCTGTCAGTGATGGAGGCAGAGAGTGAATGGGCAGGTTCGGAGTGGACTGAGCTGAATTTGCCCTTCAAGGGTTTGAACAAAAGATGAAGAGAAATAAAAGTGACCGTCGAGGGCCCAGGGAGCGACAGCAGAAATTAGAGTGAACACAGTCACATCAGAAAAGAAAAGGTTAACAAGGTATTTGTGTTGGTTGACTATTAGTATAGTACACGCATTTCTTTTTCTTCTTCAGTGTCTCTCAGTTGGCTTAATGTAATAATGTTTTGTTTTGTTTTTAAGTCAAACTGTTTTAAATAATGAGGGAATTAGATGGAAGTTGAATGTTTGTGTGTTCTTGGACGATGGTTTTTAATGAGTCAGGGGTCACAGAGGCTCAACAAATCAAGTATTCGTTTACACGTAATAAAAGTGTGATAAAATAAATTATTATGCGCCCATTATTAAAGCAAGAGACATTGCAGTGTTAACGTGAGGCCACGTCTCTCCTCACTTATCTACTAAAGCCTTACAGCACCAGTTTTAATCTGCCCAGCCGAGTTTCTTTGCTATGCCATAGAAGTATTAGACAACTTATCATTTTTAATTGAAGTTATAATAATAATAATAGCACTATAAGCGTATAATGTTGGTTGTAGACACCCCCCCCCCCCACACACACACACACACACTAAATATCCTAAAAATTAGAAATGTTCCCACATTGTTGTATTTTTCACACACACACACACACACACACACACACACACACAGTTATACTTACGTTAATTACTAAGATCTTCACATCTGAGCGTCAGGCCACGTCTCGTATATACTGAAAGATCACAGCAGCAGTTTTACTCTATTTAGCCAAGTTTCCTTTTTGCTTCTTTTTGCTAGAAACACCGCAAGACTTATTAATTATATTATAAGTCATGTTCTGAGAGTTATTATAATTTTTATTCCTATTTTTATTATCATTTTCATTAAGCAACACGTTAAATCACTTCAAAATATTGTGATGTCTGTCAGTTAATTACATTTACGTCTAAATAATTAGCCATAATATTAATATCAATATTAATAACAATTATGATAAATTATTGTTGTTTCATTGATTTTTTTTTTTTGCCTATAAAGGCTTCTTATGCCAGAGCCTCTAATACACCACTGTCGTGTTAGCGCCGCATAGACGCTGCTTCTGTGTAAACTGACTTTTCACCACTTCATATTTTGAACTGAACTAATAAACAATACTTTTAAAAATAATTATGAGTGTCATCATAAGGAGTAGGTTATTCTGCCAACCTACCCTGGATTTTCGCGGTGTTATTTTTTCCCCCTGTTAATTCAGTTCTTACATTTTGTTCTTGAAATATTAATTTCTCTTAACTTTATTTTATACTGCGCAACTAAATTTATTTTTTAAAATAATAACTTTAGAACTTTAGAAGTAGAACTCCAAACCTGTTCTACTTGTTTTATTTTATCCTCCTCAAACAGTTACAGGAGAAAGTATTTGTCTTTACCAATTTCTGAACAGAATGCCAATAAAATGTCTTGTTGATTTAATGGTACTTCTTTTGATTAATCGGTGACAGATTTATTTTGAAAATATTTTAAGATTTTTTTTATTTAATACATTTTAAATGAGAACATAATATAAACAAGACCATGAATTTTGCTAAGAATTATCATGATATTAGTTACCTGGAGAATGTGTGTCCTATCGTCTGCTGACTCAGATTGTCTTATTGATTTTTATGTGAGTGATAAATGTTTTGTGAGTTTTTAGTTGTTAGGCATTACTGAGGATTTTATTACAAAAAAGAAATTAATCCTTGGATTTTTAAAAAAACTTTCTGGTCTGTCTGGAAATGACTCAGATCTCCACCATGCTTGTTGTGTTAGTTACCTATTGAATAAAGATGCTACATATCCAACACTGTTTCTCAAATTTTAGATGATTTTCCCTGAAACTGAAAACAAACATTAAATTACACAAACACACACATACCTAACCATAACCTAATTGCTACCCTGACACTAAAACCACATTTTGAGTCTGAAAAATGTCTTCAAACTTGTGGGGACCGGGATTTTGGTCCCCATGAGGGCTGTTTGTCCCCACAAGTATAGTAAACTACCAATTTTTCGTCCCCACGAAGACACACACACACACACACACACACACACAAGTCTAAACACCTTCACATTCGTTTTTTATTTTTACTACTTTCTACATTGTAGATACACACCGAAGACATATCAAGATATATGGAATTATGTAGCAAAGAAAATATTGATAAATAACTCTAAATATGTCTGATATGTTAAATTCCTGAAAGTAGCCACCCTCTGCTTTGTTGACAGCGCTACAAACCCTTGGCCTTCGCTCAGTAAGCTTCATGATGTTGTCAGCTAAAATGGTTTCACTTCACAGGTGTGACTTGTCAGCGTTCATTTGTGGAATTTCTTGTCTTCTCAGTTGTGTTGTGTAAAAGTCAGAATGGTCCACAGCTGACAGCCCCATTTAACAACTGTAAGAATTTAGCTGATTGGTTCTTCCCATAATATAAGTAAAGAGAAATGAAAATCCATCATTACTTTAAGAACTGAAGGTCAATCAAAATTGCTGCAACTTTGAATGTGTCCCCAAGTGCAGTTGCAAAAACCATCAAGCGCTACAATGAAACTGGCTCATATGAGGACCGCCCCAGGAAAGGAAGACCAAGAGTCATCTCTGCTGCTGAGGATAAATTCACCAGACTCAGAAATCACAAGTCAACAGCACCTCAGATTAGAGCCTGGATAAATGCCACACAGAGTTCCAGTAGCAGACACATCTCTACATCAACTGTTCAGAGGAGACTGCACGAATCAGCCCTTTATGGTCAAATAGCTGCTAAGAAACCACTACTAAGGAAAAGCAACAAGCAGAAGAGATTTGTTTGGGCCATTAGACCAGTGGAAATCTGTGCTTTGGTCTGATGAGTCCAAATTTGAGATCTTTGGTTCCACCCGCCGTGTCTTTGCAAGAAAGGGTGCATGGATGGCCTTTACATGCATGGTCCCACTGTGAAGCATGGAGGAGGGACTTTCCAAAAGTACCATGAGAGGAAGAGCCTTCAGCTTTCAGGCTCCTTTCCTGTGTTCAAAGTTGGTACCATAAAATTTTTATGCAGATTGGAGATAGTCAAGCAGAAAATATTATAAAAATTATTAGTTTTCTCAGTCTTATATTTAACTGTCTTTGTTAGTTTTGGTACATTTAGAAGTAGACTCATATGGTTAGAGATTTTCAGTTTCTTGAGTTTCAGTTTCGTGCTACCCTTTTCTTCCCTTGTATTTTGTTGAGTCACGTTAGTTTCTGTGTTATTTTGCTAGTTGTTTTCTTTTTGCGCCTTGTATTTAGTTTTACTTTCTTTGTTTCATCATTGTGATTAGTTTTAGCTGTTCATGTTTCTGAGGCGTTTCCACTCCCAGTGTGTGTGTGTGTGTGTGGCCACAGTTATCCATGGGATTCTGTAGATGGATTATTTTAGCTTTCCATCGTCTTATTCTACTCATGACTTGCTTTAGTCATTTACATTCCAAGAGGTAAACTAAAGTTCAGAGGACATATGACCTTGTAATTAATCAACAGGGCAAAGCTTGTAATAGACACACTGGTTCATTGTGTGGATGTTACACTTTGCCTCTTTTAGGTGCGAAATGCACACATGGAGAAGTTGCATACCAGGAGGGGGAGATAATATAGTTGAGCAAAAATGTTGCTGACCAGGAAAGGTATGAAGTACATTTCAGGCTCCTTCTTAGGTAAGATTAAGCTAGATGGCAAATAAATTTACATGTAAATGTGTTAGTAATGTCTCTTTACATGCTTGTTTTCATTTTGGCTTGAAATAAAACATTGCCCACTGATGGAACTCAGCTTACTCTAACTTCTGCATGCACGTCCATTTCACGCTCACGTGAGACAAAGCATGACATCCACATGGTTGACCAGCTCGTCTTTTACATGCTTTGCTGTGATGTTGGGTTAAATTAAAAAAAATTTCCCCAAGTGAAATACACCCTTCCCTCCTATAACAAATGTATCCAAAAGGCTTTAAACAACAGCCTAACTGGTGTTCCCCTGTCATCATCACAGTAAGTGATGCTAAACAAACCAGAATTCCACATAGTTTTAGCTGTTGCAGCCAAACACTCCAAGCTATTAATTGATTTATACTCAGTTTATCAGTCTTTAAGGCTACCATCAAGCGAGTAATAAGATGCCTTTTGAAAACAGAAGGTAACATTTGCCAGATATATACTGTCATTAGTCAGAATGTTTTGTCAGACTTCACCTTTACCAAGAACCAAAGGTTTTCAGTTTGTGTACAAGCTCTGCATCCAGTGCTGTGTGAAGATGCGTCTGGTTCCTCTTGAACGTCTCCAAAAATTTCACAAGATGAGCTATTCCATATTCCACACTCCACATTTGCAAGTCAACAGGAGCATCAGGGGAGGCTGGGGCTCTCTGGCTGTCATG